TGATGTTGAGCCTATTAGACTGAATATAATACCTCTGTTGCTTTTTTTTAACGAATAATAATTTTTAGTGAATCAGTGAATATATAAAAATAATTCTATGCATAGATATAATGCTAAGTGTGCTTCAGCATTATAAGCTACAAATGCCCTTTGAAAACATGATTATCTAAATGTATGTGGGTGGTTCATATCTATTATTGTTTCACTAAATTTGTTTGGAAGAAATTTTGGATCCATTCTGGAAATATTATGTAATATTTCAAATGCAATGATCTCTAATTTCTATGTGAATATATAAAAGCTATTTTAAAAATCAGATGGGATACACACAGTGTGGGATTCAGCCAGTTCGCACCACTTCACCAGAAGCGGTAGCTAATATTTTTGCTGCCCAGGCCCAGAATGAACTTCCGGAAGTGGCACCAACACAGAGAACCAGTTATTCCATATTTGAATCCCACCATTGGATACATATCAAAAGTTTTTAGTGTCATAGAAGTCAGATTATTAAGTCACAGGGGTAAATTTTGACATTAATTATAGTGGATGTGCTGAACAGAATTATTTTCATTTAATGTAAATGATAAGTAGCTGTTTCCCATTACTCTTCAGAAGATAAGCAGGTGCAGAAAAGGGTGGGATAATATGTTAAATTAAAGCTGCCTCTTTCAGAGGGCATTGAAAATTGATTTTAAATAAGCTATTCTGTAGTTAAATACATAATCAATGTTCTATTTTGTATATTTCTCTGTCATTTAGGCATTAATTACAATAAGCATGAATATCATCCATAAAATAACACAATATTTTGTTCACATTATATAAATATATATAATGTAATACATAAATTACCACCATGAATATAATAATATTTTTCCATTTTTTTGTTTGTCACTGGCTTAATGAACCATCTGATAGATCTATATTATCCTGAACTTTCATCCTCAAAAAATCATTTATTACCTTTGCCTCTATAAAAACATATAGACCGCCAGTTTTGAAAGAGCACTGATTATGAACATTAGAAAGACCCCTTCACTACAATGATTAAGAAGAAAATATTTGTAGTAGTAGTAGTAGTAATAGTAGTAGTAGTAGTAACTAAGTAAGGATAAAATAATGCTAACATAACCATTCTACTTTGCAAATTAAGTGTATGTTGTTGTGACTACTATGATTACCTCAGTGCTTACCATTCCCTCATCATTGCTATTGTGTGTCTCTGTAGTTTGCTACTGGAAATGATAATCCACTGCCCATTCTCTTGGATCTCCCCCTCCCTCTGTGTGTGTGTGTATGTGTGTGTGTGTGTGTTTTCAGCATTCGCTCAAAGTCTTTCCCCCTTCTCTGCTTCCTTTCTGTTTAAATTAATTATATTCTTTACTGCTGTGTTTCAATAAGGCAATTAAAGCACTTCTAC